CTTTCCCTCACTCTAATCGCCACGCTAGATAGTTTGATTATACTGGGATGCTGCTATTGTGCATTTTGAGGCTGCATTCTGTACGTCCATCCTCAAACTTTAGAAAATACGGTAATGACAAGCAGAATTTAAACTTTTTAGATAGTTTGATTATACTGGGATGCTGCTATTGTGCATTTTGAGGCTGCATTCTGTACGTCCATCCTCAAACTTTAGAAAATACGGTAATGACAAGCAGAATTTAAACTTTTTTAAGAGCCTCCACACAACATGGCAAGAAGATTCTGAAAAGATAAAATTCAGTCAGAAACATCCAGAAATACCCACTTTTAATCCTAAACATTTGTTTACAATAGCTAATTGTCATGGTTTAACCCCAGTCAGCAACTAAGCAGAGCCGCTCGTTCACCTCCCCCAGTGGGATGGGGGAGAGAATAGAAGGAAAAGGCAAAACCCATGGATTGAGATAAGAACAATTTAATAATTGAAAATAAATGAAATAAAACAACAGTACTGTGTAATGAAAATAATGGAAGGGAGGGGGAGATGGGACACAGACAAAAAAAAAAAGAGAAAAACCAAGTGATACAACCACTCACCACTGGCTGACTGACACCCAGCCAGTGCCCAAACAGCGAGAGCCAGAGCCCCCAGTCAACTCCCCTCAACTTATATACAGAGCATGACTTTTTATGGAATAAAATACCCCTTTGGTCAGTTTGGGTCAGCTGTCCTGGCTGTGTCCCCTCCCAGCCTCTTGTAGAGCAGAAGCTGGGAACACAGGTGCAGTATCAAAACCTGAAGAAATGCTTGACTTGATATAAACATTGCTTGGCAACAACTGAAACCAGTGTGTTATCAACATTCTTCTCTGCACATATCCAAAACACAGCCTCATACTAGTCACTGTGAAGAGAATTAATTCTATCCCAATCAAGACCAGCATACTAATCCATCTCTATTCCCTCTGAAAAAAAGACACAATCCAAAGAATATCAGTAAGGCAAGAATCCCAGCCATAACAATATTCTGCTCTGTTTCTAACAAGGAAAAAGAATGGGAAGAACTTCTAATTTCCATCTCACTTCATCTGTCCCATATGACTACTTTATGACTAACTTTATTTTAGATTAATTAAGAAGAATCACCATGGTAATTACAGCTAAATCTGGTAAGAGTGAAAAAACTCCTGACAGTCACCTACCAGGGAATGCTATTATTGTACTGTAAATCAACAGAAGTAGGCTTAAAATTTCTTGACAGACAGTGGTTGTCATCGCTCTTTCACAAGAACAGATCTACATTAGTGAAACATTCAGCTTAAAATTATAGGTCATAAGTAGACTTACCTATAACTTTCCCTCACACATCTTTCTGCAGCAACATAATCATTTCTGTGAAGATGAACTAAGACTTGAGCAATAGTTTTCTAAACAAAAAAAAAAGAAACACCAGCCTGATGATTCTTCAGAAATTAACAGGAAAATCTGAGAAAAACACTGGACTGCCAATATTTAGCATGCAAAAAGTCATTACGATCTGCAATGATGCTAAGATACTGGCACAAGAGATTCTAACAACACAGTGAAAAAGCCATAAGCCACATCCTCAGCTGATGTGAAACGTTATCTCCTACAAGACTGTAATGAACTGTTGCACCAAGTAACAGTTTTGGTGGCTTATTATGACATCTTTATTTTTGATGCGTTTGTTGGTTTTGACAGCTCTGTAGATAACAGCATCTTATATTCAGCATTAGAGTAGTGAAAAAAAGCACAGTTGGAGGCTGGGGAAACGTGCACTAGGACAAACTGTCATCATTTAGCAAGAAACATAACCCCGAATCAAGAGTTACATACTGTCAGTCAGATGTCAGTTATCATTGTCACCCAGAAAAAGTTGAAACACACAATCACAAATTACTTAGAATTTACCTTATAGCACGTTGGATAATTTTCAATTTCCTTATAAATACTTTTTTCCTTCTGAAGAGACAATGCAGCCTCATCTAATCTAGAAAACCAAAAAAGGGTTCAGAGTATCAGTGTCAGGAATACAGCGTAATGAACCTGAGGCTAATTACAGAGCGTTTAGCTACTATACCAGCAAGTCTACTGGAATAAAAAGCAACACAACTAAAAATCAGCAGCAGATGTTACTAAGGGAGTAGAGGAAGAAATACTATAGGCAGAAATTTCTTTTGCATACATGCGGGTGAAGAACAGCTCTGGTATTCATTCAGAGAAACCTCATTTTTCATAACATTGTACGAGATAAATGCCTTGTTACATAACCTAACAGATTTCTGTATGTCGTGAGGTTACCCTAAGTCTCTGACTTAATATTGATAGTTCATGATTACCCTAAGTCTCATACCCATGAACTATCAATATTAAGTCAGAGTAAATGGTTATGAGTTTGACTACTCTTTTAATCAACGTATTAAACTTCTAGAAGTTAGCAACAGCATGTGAGCTACAAAGGAGCAGAGCAACCAGGTCTTCCAGATGTTCTGCAGCCATGTTGACTCGCTTTCACAGAAAGACTTTCAAGTTACTCTGTAAATTTTCTTTTCTGATTACTATTCTGTAGTGAAATAGTGTCTTAAAAGTAAAGTTAGAAACCCAGACAATTCCATAAACAACTACATGTTTCACTGAAGCAAGTCTAAGCTGATCTGCAGGTCAAACTTAGTGCTAAATTAACAATTAAAATGAATTCCCATCGAGACTCCAAGATACACTTATTCTTTAAGTCCAGAATCAGACTGCTGTAAACAGACTTCTTTCTTCAGGTTAGTTACCTGGTTCCCCTGTTTTATACTCCACTGCTATGAAAGACTTTCAGATACTTTCTACATATTAATGCTGGAAGGAAAAAAAAAAAATTCCTGAAGGAGTTTAGGAGTTAATGAAAGCTGGTGTATGTGCCTTCTAGCTATTCAACACACACAAAGGAAACAAAGCCATACAGCCCATGTTCTCCTATCTCAGAACACAAACCAGGTGGTTCCTGAATGAACATGACATATCCCACAGAAGGTGAATTTTAGTTTGAAGTGCGCCTCAAAGAAGAACTAAGTAGCAATATATAAACCCTACAACAGCAAAAAAAAAAAAACCACCACAAATGAAAATCACTATTAAAGATTCAATTACAGTAAAAAAACCCAGGAATTAAGCTATACCTGCGTCCTCTGACTAGAAGTCTTGATGCCTTCCCTAGCATTTCTAATGCTTGCCGTAAACGTTCTTCATTCTAGAGAAGAACAAAAAGAATTCATGCACTTGTATTTCATTTACATAGAATTAAGACCACTAGACCTTAATCTAAATACAATAATTAACAGTTGTTCTGAGTTACAGATGATGTATCAGCAGTTCACAAACTCAAAGGAAATGTGAAGAGTACTGGTGCATCCAAGTCCCACTGCCAGCATCTGTATCGACCTATAAAGCAACGTAACATCTATGCCAGTTTGCTAATCTGGAAACGTGACAACTGACGATGGAGAAGTACACCAAAGGAAGTAGCAAAAAGGTAAATCATCTGCTCATGTGATGGGTAGAGCATCAAGCATGCTCTTCTCTACCATGCATTCAAACATTTCAAACTATTTTAGGCTCTAAGACTCAACAGCAGCCATGTTTCCCTAGGCTCTGGGCTGCCCAAAAAGCAGCAGAAAACTTGACAACATACAAAGTTCAGATTTAGTCAAGTCCCAAACTGAGAAAACGGCAAAGCAAACTGACTCTTAACTTCTATAATCTCCTTCTCTACAGCATAAGAAGCCTTCAGCTTCATTACTCAGCCACAGATGTGAAAGGAAGGAAAAATAATATATAACCTAATCTTACATCTCTCTATACTTTCTGGGACTGGACAGTCCTTAGGGGAGGAGGGCCCAAAAAACTCCCCAAAAAATAACAACCCAAAACCCCCCACTTACTTCAAACACTGACGCTGCTTGCTGGTAGAGCTGCACAGCCTTCTCTGGGCTCACATTTTCTATTAACCTATAAGAAACATATTTTCATCTCAAAAGACATGATTTATTTTACCTAAAAGCATCAAAAAGACAAGAAAGAAAACCAAAGACATACCCACGCCCTGCGTGCTTTCTAGCCGCCAATACCCCAGACTTACTTTCCGGCCCGTTCCAGTGCAATTGCTGCTGTATCTGGCGTCCCATTCTCCAGGTACATCATACTGGCTTTCTCGATCAGCTGACCCGCTTCAGGGAGTCTCTGCATCTCCTGCAAAGCAACAGCCAGAGGGATGCTGCTGTCAAGACTTGTGCTTATATACAACGGAACACATCAAAGCAAACAAATACCTTATTTAAGACACTAATTTTTATTTACAGACATGGAGAGCTAGTGAAAGTTGATCATCAACTCTCTAAAATTCACTTCTAAGTACCAAATTCATGTCAGGCATGAATTTATGGTAGTTTAGAGAAGAAGCAGCATCACTCTTCCATTACCCTATGACATGAGGCCCTCACCTTTGCTTCCACAGAAGGAAAACTTCACACACATGCACATACTTCCCCCCAACTACAAATGTCACTTCCCTAACCTACTGAGGGTATTGGCAGGGACTATGATTCAGCAGAAAAATATCAGTTTAATATGCAATTCACTTAAATGTATTTGTAAAATGGGCCAGTGCACAACATTCTTCACTATAAAATAGGGAAATATTTAATAAAAACTAGTAAATTAAAGTACCTTTAGCATCATTCCAGCTTGTTCGTAAGCTCTGCAGAGAAAAGAATTGCAATTTAGTTACATAGTGTATTTCAGCAAACTGTAGTTATGCAGCAAAAGCTAACATGCATCAGCTATCACTTCACTGATAATATTTAATGCTTTGAAAATGGTCCAAGTGTTTTATTTAATAAGACAGTGCATGTGTAACAAAGATAAGTACCTTAACCACGCTCTCCACTAAAAATCTGTTCTCATGAATTGACTCACAGGCAATGTTTGGATTATTTGTCATTATCTGCTTGCTTTGAAGAATACTTTAATTAAAAGAATTATTTATAAGCTCAACAGTGTAGAATTTCAAAATTACAAAAAGTTCATCTAGGAAAAAATATTTGATATCAAAAGGTGCTGAAGAATGCCAACATCATCACTTCTTCAGATGGCCACTGCAGGTTTTTGGACTTTCCTAGCCCACACTTCCACTAAACTGATTTTGAAACAGCAAAATCACTTGAACCCTACCATTTACTACAGCGAGAGCAAAGTGAGAGTTCATGCTGGTACCGTACGTTAGAAAGTTTGTTTCAGATTACTCAGTGCTTCTGTACTTACTTGGCAGCATGGAAGAGACTGGAAGTAACATCGTCAAAGTTAAGGACAACAGCCATGAAAATATAATGCAGAAAAACTGAGTGTACAAAAAATTCTATACTAGTTTCAAAGCAAGGAATCCCATACAGGTAAATCAAACCTACTACATCTGTCAGCACAGTGTCAAAAATAAATGTTTCTAAGGACAGAATAAGTGCAACATACCACAGTATAACTGCATGTAAAGTTGTAAAAAGCATATTTATTTAAAATTATGTTCCTGGTTACTAAATAATACTACTACAAGCACTGTAATAATGGCAGAATTGCATTTAGTTTATAATATCCATCTGTAGGTATTTTAAAAAATACAATAATTTCTGAAGCAGTACCTAGATATCTCAGGCAATGGTCAGCACCTTATCACTCCAGATGTTACTGGGAACCAAAAGACTTCCTTAGTTTTCCCACCCACAGCACACAGGAATGATCTTTCTTTTAAAAGAGAATTTTGTCAGACTGACAAAATGTGCAAATATATTAAATACATCTTCTACCCCATGATACATCACAAATATAATGATTAAATACATCATTACCCCATTCTAAGTAGCAACTATTCAGCTTCTTGGAAAAAAGAACAATCAATAAAAAGATACGCTTTATTGTTTTCATGTGCTTCAGCTTCCCGTAAACAGGCTTCCCTTGCTTGATCAAACTGCTTGGCATTCTTAAAGGCAACAGCTGCAAGAAATCAAATAAAGTTCGTATTTACAGCTTGCTATTTACCTTTTTTCACCACTTCTGCTCAAGAAATTAGCCACCTAAAGATGCAAACAGACTCTTTAAATGAATGGTTACAGCTTTCCAAGCTCTTCTAAAATATCCCATGACAGTCCTCCTTGCTTCATTAGTCACTTAAGTTACCATTAAAAATATTTATGGCCAACATCACTTCCACACCATCACTGCACCATTGTGCATCATGTGTTTAGCTGGATTTTGGAACTCACTCACTCTGTATTTTAATTATAGAACTGCAGGAATATAGTCACTATACAAAAGCAGTATGGCAGGAATAGAAGTGTACCATCAATAACGCACACCTTTAACAACTTCCTCAACACAACCACTTCATGGCACAAGTATTTCTATCTCCATTAGACTGAGAGGATAATTAAAGTAGGACTTAAAATAAATTTCCATTCATAGATATCTCCAGTTGATCTTCCAAGTTTGTATATTTTTAATTCACGCTTAAATGAGGTAAGTAGGAATGCCTCGAGTAAGAAGCCAAAAATCCACAGTAAGTTGTTATTGTAAAAAGAAAATTGTTTAAGAGCAAAAAGGAATCAACTAATGAGAATTTTAGATTCGGTATGTCATTTGCGGTGGGGAAAAAAAAGAAGCAAGAAAACTTACTATTCCTAAAACAACATGCCAGCTTCTCTACCTTACTGAGACAGCCTCTGTCAGGGCATACTTCATAAGATGATGAAAAAGCAAAGTTTTAAAACCTGCTTGAATATTTATTGTTTTGTAGGTAAAGTCATAGGATTTGGGGGTGGACAAGTGAAAGAAGGAAAGCTTTATTTTTCTCACGCATAGTAATATATAAAATAGAAGTTGTAAGCTTGAAAAAGAATTTAAAAAAAATGTTTTGACAACAGTTCTGTAATACATAATATAGTATAGTATAATATGAATTTTTTTTACAGTGATAGTAAAAGGTGGGGTTTTTTTGTTGTTAAGAAAAAGTAAGAAGAAACTTAAGCTTTACTTACACAGCAGTATACTGAAAATATGTAAAATGTTACTGGGGATTAACCTTAAAGAATACTTTGAAACCATAAAGTATATGGCCACATCTACAGCCATACATACCTGCCTTCCCATATTCAGTAGCTGCACTGTCATAATCTGGTTTCCACTTTAAGAATCCAGTTTTCAGACTAAAATGCAAGAAGAAAGGCCTATTAACAACCAGTAATTATTTTATGTTTTACCTTCAAAGCACTTCAGACTGCCTCTGAAAAGGAGCAATTACCCATATGCTAAATACTATGATGGTACAACTACTGTCAAAATAAAGCTGGTATTGTGAGGAATTGCATAAAGCACTGCAATGACATCTCATGCCTTGCCCTAACATGCTTCTACCGTCCCCAGAAAGTCTTTACAAGTCCAGCTCCTCAACAGCAAGAATCCAACAGAAGAAAAATACTTCCACCCACACCAACATGGTATTTAAAGATTTCTAGTACCAGAACACCTGATTATTTTGTCACACATCATGAAGTTTCCCATGTTCCTCTACAGTAATTTTTTTTTGCTGCTGAGATTTATCAAAGACTCTCCACTGCATGCACAAATGAAAGAATTTACTTAGCAACACAAAGCTTCATGTCATTTATATATTTACAATCCCTCATGACACTAAATGACACCACACACACACAGACATATATGGGGACAAATATACATTGAAAATCGAGGTGAGTCATCCTGTCACCAGCAATGGTGACTTCAACATTATGACTCCTCACTTCTAAAATAAATATAAAAATTACTATAACTTTACCATGTTTGTTGTAGGCAGAGAATTCAATTGCAATACACGTTTAATTTGGAAAAAACAGTTGTATACAGACTCTAACACTAGATTTATTGACTTACTTGGACAAAAGCCAACAGTATATTACTCTAAAACATAACACAATAGAAAGGTTTGCTTATCACAGGCAAAGTCACAAAAGCACCAAGCAGAAATACACAATGTTTAATCTACATGCAATTTGAGATCTAGGCACCTTTTATTTCAAATGCTTTCCAGGATAAGCTTAAAATGAATCCCAGTGAAAGGCATGTTTGGTCAAGTATTTTGAGTAGGATACTCGGGTATAGATTTTATTATTCTGAGGACATGTCTATCACAGCTTATACTTTTGCTCCATGATTTCAGAATGGCTCATCACTATTCTTACTAAAATTACACCACCTTTGGATTCATCAGGTCTATTACATCTATATTATAGTCCATGAAATTGAGACTTACAAACAAAATGGCTACATTCAGTGTTAAAATACACATTAAAAGACTGTCACATGTAGATGTTAAGCCCCCCAAGCTAAACCTCAGCACAGGTCTTTGAGACCATCTAAAAAGAAACAATCACACATTTCTCATAGGTAGGAAACAAACGCACCCATCTCAGCAAGGTTAAGCTCTTATTCACCACTGTCCCCGTAACGCTTTTCTCCCGTTTGTCTTTCTCCCACTAGACTTGGCAGAAGGGCAGAAGTGGCTCCGCTCCCTTTCCAGTCAGGGTGAGAGCAGTAAAGGCTGCACGGCCCTTAAGGAAACTGCTCAAGCTGCAGGCCACTGAGCCGTACAGACTCACCGACGCGACTTTCTAGCTTCAAGGCCGCGTTATTTTCCCAGTTCGTGGAAGAGAGGTGCCCTTTAGCACCCACCTAGTATAAGGAGGGACCCCCGAAGCAAAAGAGGGGCCTAGCAGTCATGTACTCTTACTCCTTCCCTGCCCCAGCTTCCCCTTCTCCCGAGGTCGCGTCGCCTGGCACAAGCAGTTCCCCCCATCAGCCCCCAGTGAGGCCACCACCTCTAGCTCCCCGAAAGACCACCCACCCCCGGACTGCCCCCTTCCACCCTACGCCGCGCACGGCATCATGGGAGCTGTAGTTCACCCCAGGCCTCCGCTCCCCGCACAGGCGCCGGCGGGAACTACAAGTCCCAGGAACCCACCCCTGCCCGCGGCCCTGGGGTGAGCAGGGGG